GTAAACACAATAATATTACTGTCAACAACATCAATATTATTATTTTTTGGGGGTTTTGCTTTGTTTGAATTATTCACGGAGTAACGTAATAATATTACTGTCTATTATTGTAATATTACTGTAAACACAATAATATTACTGTGGTTAACGCTAATATTACTGTTGTTATAGTAATATTGATGTCAACCACATTAATATTATTATTTTGTTTGTATTTTTTTGTTTGTTTGAGTTATTCACGGAGTAACGTAATAATATTACTGTGGTTGACGGTAATATTACTGTTGTTATAGTAATATTACTGTCACTCACAGTAATATTAATTCTTTTGGCTTTTTATTATGTTTACATTTGTTGAACGGTCAACATAGGAATATTACTCTATTACACAATAATAATGAGTTTTGTTGTGTTAAGATTACTGTGCTAGAGATTAATATAGCAATATTATTGTGTTAAACTGTAGTTTAGTTAATTAATTTTACTGTGTTTAACAGTAAGATAGTTAATATTACTGTCAATCACAGCAATATTGTTGTGTAAACGAAAAAAAAAGTTACAGAAAGAAAGAAAAGAAGAGGGGAAAAAATGAAAAGTCAACGCCGGAATCCGGCGGGCAAAAAAAACAAGATTTTGAAAAAATAATTTTTTTTGAAAAAATAAAAGTTTTGGGTCAAAATTTAATAATTTGTTAAATTTGGGGTCAAATTGAGGTTAAATAAAGTTAAATATGAAATTGAAGCATATTAAAGTATGAGGGATTATTTTAATCCTTTACAAAAATCTGGACCATGTGTGGACTTATTGGTAAATGAGTTTTTTGTCTTGATCTCTTTATAAATAAGTACCCATTGATGGGCTTATTTGTAAATACCCCTTGTAAATATAATGTAGACGATTTGGTTTACAAATAAGCACATCAATAAGTACTTATTTATAAGGGAATCCAGATAAAAAAAATCTTTTAAAAAAAAGTTCACACATGGTCTAGAAGTTTGTAAATAACTGAAATAGCCCCTCACATTTTAATATGCTATAATTTCATCATTTAATTTACTCTAACCTCAATTTGATTCAAAATTTCACAAATTATTCAATTTTGACCCAAAACACAATTTTATCAACAATTTCGTCCGTCGCTATCGTTGACCACCGGTCTCCGGCGTTGATTTTTTTTTTCTTCCTGATTTTTCCGCCGCCAGTTTTCGGCGTTGATTTTTTTTTTGAATTTTTTTCTTTAACATCTTTTTGCCCCCCTTTTAAACAACGATATTGATATGGTTGACAGTAATATTAACTATATTACTGTTAAACACAATAATATTAACTATACTACAGTTTAACACAGTAATATTGCTATATTAATCTCTAGCACAATAATATTAACAGAACAAAAGTCATTATTATTTTATCATATCACATACATTCATAATTCATAATTATATTAACACATCTTTCTCTTACAATCTGCACACACACACACCACATACATTCATAATTCTTCTTACAATTACACACATGCAGAGGGCACACACACTGTCATATTTCTTCTTACGATCCACACACACAGATGGAACACACATACACATACATTCATATTTCTTCTTATAATCTAAACATACAGATGTCATACAGACACACCACACATTTATAATTCTTCATACAATCTACACAAACACATAGGATACACACACACCACATATAATCGTATGTCTTCTTACAATCTACACACACAGATGGCACACACATACACCACATACAATCATATTTCTTCTTAAATTTTACACACAAGCAGAGGGCACACACA